TGTATATCGTCTAGTGACTGATTACGGTAGTTTATCCATCAACTTTGAATTTTAACTTGTGTATTGAATTTTTGACTAACTGCAGAGCAGTGCAATTCGCCACAGTGGGTGCCGGAGAAAATCAGTTCCGAGCTTCCGGATTCAAGTGGATTGACACATCGAGAGATAAACTAGTGGAAATGTATCTGCGTTCTTGACCAACTTGCAACATTTAGATATCAAATCGAATCGCACAAACACGGCGAGCACAGCGCCGATTCGGAATACTTCAGGAGTCGTGACTTCTAAAGAAAGTGATTGATGATCATTGTTTGAAAGGATCTCTCTTTATTACGATCATTTAATAACTCCCACAATAATAAAGTTTTCATTGAAACCTTAACTACACGTAATTCTTCGCAAACGTCGCCGAGAACATCACTTGGCAAATGAATGGGGAATTTCGAATGAAATCCCTCTTGATTGTTGAAATCCAGATCTAATAGTCTATTCAGGAGCGACGAGAGAGCAAAATACTTGCAGCTTCAGGCGGAATTCTGAGTTTTCGAGAAAAATTTTTATGAGACTTTGAACAATTCAAACAATTCAGAAATAACGAAAAAGATAATGTGCAGTTGTGTGTTTTCAGAAGATTGAATAAAATGGGCTTTGTTGGTTTTTCAAAAAGAACATAAGGCATTTATCAGAATTAAGTGCTCCTTTTGCATATAAAACGATGCTGTCTGGTAGGAGGATCGACTCCCCATTTCCCAGTGTCGCTCCAAAGCTGAAATTTGTTCATTTCGGATGGAAATCCTTTGATAAAACACTTTACGTTATTTTACACAAAGAAATTTCCTCAGATTGATCGAAAAATTTTAAGATTAATTACGCATTGGAAATCGCAACAAATTTCGATGATTTCACGCTGAAAATCTCACATAAGCGTGGGTGTTCGGACCCGGCTCTCTAACCCCCCAATTCGTGAAATCCACCGAACTTCCATCCATCCATTCAAAAGCATTTTCTTTGTTCGGATTTCTCTGAACAAAAAAATTTTTATGTTTCACTATTGCTATTTCAACCATGTTTTTTTCCATTTTAAAACTATTCTAATTTTTCACTTCAAATTAGACTTCTATAAATCCTATCATTTCAAATTTCTGTCAAAGAACTATCAGTCAAACGAATCTTTTTTTTACAAAGTGCGTTCCAAAGTGGCTGAAAAAAATGAAAGAATTAAGTTTAATATATTCATTTACGTCTTTCAATAAGAAAAATTCAACCTTCAGTCCGATCCAGAACCAAGTATCTGAATAAAGAGTGTTCACTGAAATAAATCTTGTTTTTGGTTTATAAAGCAGAAATTCCTACGAAAATCAAGAATTTTCAGAATTGAATCATTTCGTTTTCTTACCGAGTTGCGAAACAAAATCGCTCTCTTCCTGACTGTGGATTGAGACTAAATGGCTCTTTCTGCCCCCACAATATGCCTCGGCTTCATCGAATGTCCTTTTTTTGTTCGATCACCTTGAGATGAAGATAATCCTGGTTCACAACAGCCACCAAACCTTGTACCAAGAAGGGGTTTTTTTCAAATACGACCATCCATCCAGATCCAAGAAAGACATCGTTCGATTTCTGAATTTCTTCAAAAATCTTGACTCCGGACTTTTTTGAAACAAATACTACTTCCTTTTCCATAAAACAAACTCACAAATCTGCCTGCAACTTGGCGATTTCGGCCATTTTGTTTTCCCTTTCAGATTGTCTAAAGAGGAATTGATTAGATTGAGTGGAATGGGTGTTTAGGAAATGAAAAAACTGTTTTCTTAAGTCTCAGTCGACAAGAGATGAACTCACATTTGAGCCCTCAATTCGGTGATTTTCGTTGCTCTAAAAGGAGTTCTGTTAGTTAACAATCTGTCATAACTAAGAATAACCAGAGAGAGAAGAAGACTCACAACTCGGCCTTTAGCTCCATGCTTTCGGACCTCAATTTCCTCTCGACCTCGGCATTTTCTTCCCTCGTTTCGTTCAACTCCCTCTCGCTGAACAACTCGAGCCAGTCAGATTCTAACAGTTTTCAACGTACAAATCGGCTTTCCACGCGGAAAAGGTCCTTGACATTTCGGCGACTTCGCAGAGTTCGCAGATTTTTCCTCGAGCCTCGACGAGTTCTTGTTGGGTTTTACTCCTGAAAAGTCTTGTCATTGGGACACGCAAACCTATTTCTTATTCATTCTACCGAATTCGCTTTATTGATTTGCTTTTCTCCAAAAAAACCCACAAATTTCTTTGGCAAGACCTCAAATTGATGGGATAGACAAATTGATGGGTATAACTTGACGACGAGCCCTCGTCTCTACTGCTGAAATCTAAGATCATCGAAAATCCCTTTCTGACCAACTTTGACGAAGAAATTCGATGGAAAAGAAGGAAAATCGTGATGAATAGACCGACGGCCATCACACCCATTCCGACCAATTGGTGAATTCGTTTTGAATTCAAGGAAATGGGAAGAATGAATGGAGCGACGATGCCAAAGTGTCAAAGTGAAAGTTTTGACGGCCCAAAGGGCAGGAATAACTGTTTTGACGAGCCGGAATAGATGTTTGAGAATGGAATTTCGGGCATTTAAAAGTCGCTTTCTGAGGTCATTACAAACAGACAGACAGTTATTTTTAGATTCACAATACTACTAGTTTTTGTGGAGGCTTTATAATTGCTTGCTTTTGGTGTGAAAAGCAAGATAAGAATCTAATAAATTGAATCTATCACCTTACATCTTTCGATTTTGCGATGTCACCGAGTTAAAGGCTTCGAAAAAAAGGGGTTCCCGGGGTTCTCCGTTGTAAATGTCGCTTTTTCCACTAAAAAGCGATTTTTCAAAAAACTGTCAGGAGAATTTGGAAAATTTTTCCTGTTTTGAAATGAGTACATTTTTCTGTGTAGAATGACACATCTTTCATCAAAATTCATCAAAAAACGCAAATTGCGATGTGTTTAAGACCTGAATCACTGTTTTGACGGCCCAAAGGGCAGGAATGAATTTACTGAAAGACCCGAAGGACTGGAATGAAAATTTTTGAAGGCCAGAAGGGCCTGAGTGTAACCGTGGACTTTTCTGAACTGTCTGAAAGGCCTAATGAGAGATTTGTACGGTCCAAAGGGCCGAACTATGTCTATTTTCCAACCCATCAGCGCAAATACTTTCACGGGTCCCCCAATTAAACAGCGGGCAAAGCGAACGATCGTGAGCGAACAAAACCGGACGTGGAGCTAGCGAGATCACGACAAGAGTCTCCGAATTGGAGACCAGGTTGGAAGCCGATTTGTGAGTGTTTGGAATGGCGTTAATTGGATGGAATCACCAGAGACGATAGAGACGAGGGATCCAAAAATCCCCAATTTTCCATAAATGAAATGAAGGACTTGCGTCGAAGATGGGAAGAAGTCAAAATGGAGAATACTTTGCTGATTGATAGTTGCTATTTCTTGTAGAATGCAATCTATTGTTACACCCAAAAAACGCGCATTATTTTTCCCTGATCTAATAGTTAATAAAACACTTCTCCTTAGGTTTTGAATACTTTCTAGATTTGCATGGAAACTTGCCTCATGCTAAGGAATAGAAATATCATGGAAATTTTCAGGAAACGAATCACCCGAGAAAAGCCTTTTGAACCTTTTTTCCTTTTTTCCTTTTTTCTTTTTTCAAAACCTTTTTTCTCAAAAACCTTTTGAAATATAGTCCAGTTTCTTAAAAAATCTAAGAAGAATTCATGGCTTGGTTTTTGAGAACTCACCGTTCACACTTTCTCCGAGACTTTCTTTCCAACCTAATAGATTGAGGAAAAAATAATGCACTTTTTGAGTTTCGCTTTGGGAATTGATATTGACTTCAACCCAACACTCACGACTCGCGAGCATGCAAAAATGTTTGATGTTGATCAGAAGACAATTGACAACCATTTGCACCAACCTGGGGAAAAAAATTTGCTTTGCAAAATGGGTCCCGCACTGACTCAAGACAAAAAAAACAACTCACGTCAATGTCAGTTCTTTTTTGCTCCAGAAATGTAAAGCTGCTGGTTTCTGGGATTCGAATTTGTCGTCTGATGAAACTTGGACTAATTACGAGAATGTTATTGGGTTAGCGGGAAAATAAGGCGAATTTTTTTGACCCGTATTTTTATTTCAAAAAACAATAAACCAAGAGGATTAACATAAAGGGAATTCTGCATTATTATTTAAGACATCATGCCATCTTTTGCTCAATTCAATAATTGTAATCAATTCACAGCAGTAGACCAATCAGAGACGAGTGGGAGATGAAAATTGAATTCTCGCGAGAATTACCAAATTTTCAATCTCAAAAATGCGGAAAATTATAAAAAAAAGGCATTCCGCAATTGTGGAAATGGTCTTGCTAAGGATATGGGAAAAATTTCAAGATATCGTCCTCATTTTGTTGATAGGATCTTGATGGGTAAGTCGAAATTGAAAAATTACAAAGCAAAACAAATTTAAGGCACCTATTCCTTTTTGATGTACTTTTTCTGGGAAGTTGGGTGGTGTTTGCTGAAAAAACCGATTGGTATTCGGCACAACTTTGTCGAGAATTTACTGGAGAATGCGACAGCTGTGGTAAGGTCTTTGACAGAGAAATTGTCGAGCTTCTAACATGTTTAGACAAGAAAGCTTTCAGATATTTCTAGGAATTGACTCTATCTAGCCAGTCTTTCAAAAGAAGAGTCGACCAAGGTGTGAAAACTAGGCTTTGCTGGGTTTATGTTAGTGTTGACTTTAGTTTTAACAGCCAGCTTTTATCAAGTTTCACGCCAGTATCAAGATCAATGATAGGTTTTAAAATAAAACTAGTCGATTTGGATTCCTGGTTTCCTATTTGGATCTATTTGAATAGCGTAAAACCCTGACAAAAGTTAAAGCCCACTTGGCAAACCCAAAAACAGGACAGTTATTGGTTTAATTAACTACTTTTGTATACTAGTACTTCAAGTCGAGTTTAAGTTCAGTTCAAGTCCAAGTTTAATTTGAAACACAAAATCGTGACTTTCTCGAAATACAGGATGAAAAGTTTGAGGAGAAAAGACTTGTGCTTGAATCATCGATCCGGTCAGCAAACCCCTAAAATTTTGTTTACTTGAGAAAATGCTAAAAAACAAACTTTCCACGGGTACTGTTTTCTTGCAGAAGCTCTCGCACAATTCCGACAAGATTGCTGGCGTTGACTTTATTGACGAGACCGTGGATCTTTTTCTTCAGACGCTCCCAATTCAATCGTTGAAGTTGCTCACCCGCTTTATCCTAATTTTTTTCTGTGGCCACGTTACCATTTGATGCATTACCTGAATTTGTTCTTGCATCAACTTCAACTTCGCTGGTGGGATGTATGCCCCTCAAGTGCGAGAACGCATTAAATCAACAGGCTCTTTCTTTTCCTAAAATGTATTTACTTCAACAAAGTTTTCTTGTATACTTTTTGAGGAGCTTCATTTTCTTTTGCCTTTTCTGGTGATTCTTCACGTTTTGGAGATACGATGGAGATACGACTAAATGCTTATTTTTGCCATCGAAACTCTCAAATTTGAGTGATCTTTACCGAAAAATACCGAAAAACGCCCAAAAACGTGGGTTTTTGAACCGACTTGAAGTCATAAATATCATCAAAAACAAATCAATATTTAAACAAAAGGGTATTTTTATACCAAATCTAGGTCGAAAATCCGAATTTGACATCAGTTTTTGCTTGAAATGCCTCCTAAAAAAGTTAGGTTTTGACTCCCTTTTTCTTTTTAAAATATTTTACCATAAAACAAAACAAAAAATCTTGGTAGTTTGCTAGTAATATGTATTTCTGTCTATATTTTATTTCATTAAAAGACTATTTTTAAAAATCGTCAATGAGAAAAAAGTTATCGCCAAATAAAATTTGTTCTTAAACTTTTGTCCAACAGTGTAACTAGGCGCTTTGTGGAAGGACAGTGTGGTTTTTGCAGAAGAGAAAGGGTGACAGAAATAGAAAGGCGTAAAAATGTAAGATTTGCTAATTCAAGATCACGCGAAAAATAAAATAATTGCTTGACTAAAGTTTTTTAAACCACTAGAAGTAAGTTAAAGATTTTCAGCTAAATAATTAACGTCTACATTTTTTGAAATAAAATGTTTATGAGACTGCATTTTGAGAAATTTTCGGCGCTAAACCTTTTTTACACCTTTTTTAAACATTTTGTTTTGTTTTGTTTTGGTGATACTAGCTCAACGCCGCTTTCTTCATCTCATTATTTTACCTCTTTGTCGTCATAAAAACATACAAAATCATTTAAGCAATTTTTCAAGAGGGCGATACTGGCTTACCCCATCCCCCACTCAAAATTTTGCTCATCTTGTACAATTTGATAGAACCGGATTTGAAGATTGAGGTATATTTTAAGTTTTCAAATAGATTTTAGTCATTAAGCAATTTATTTTGGTATTTGGGAGGGGCCACTTTTATCCTGGCTTAGTTGGATCTAATGTTTTGAGTCGTTGTAAATCGATGCCTTTTAACTACCGTAAATACTGTAATAGTACCCCACCCCCATAATGACGGTGCGGAGTGTTGCGTAGTCTAGCTTTGAACGAGTTTTTCTCGACACTGGTTTATGCTACAATGCGCGCTTAGGTATCAAAAAGTAGCCCTGAATTTCAGCTATTTTTTTGATACCAAAGACGCATTTTTTGAAAGTACGGGCGCTTTGAAAAAAATGAAATACTAAAAAACTTTTGCGATTACGCGACTGTACGAGGGGGATGGGGTCCAATTACAGTATTTACGGTACCTATCTTGGCGTAATCAAATATGGCTATGCTTTTAGAGGAGTTACAACATGTACCAAGTTTCATATTGCCGTTTTTATTTGATTTTCAAGTCTAAGCAGCTTTGGGGTAGCATTTGGTGGTTAAAGTACATGAGGTTAGGCTAGAAATGCCAAAATTGGTCATGAATCTATTAAACATATTTGATTACCTTAGAATAGGTAAAAGGTATCAATACAACAACGCAAAACATTAGATCCAACGAAGCCAGGATAAAAGTGGTTCTTCCCAACCATCAAAGTACCTTTATTTTTATACTTAACTATTGGGTTGGTGAATTGAAAACTGCCGGCTATTTCGCGGGACTCGCAGATAAAAAAAACAACAGCTTTGAAAGGGGGTTTGGTTAATTCAACATTTCCTCAAATTATTGCGAAAAAATTATGCTTCCAGCTTTTTATTTTTTGGTATTTCTCTTCACTTCTTCTATAGCACTAGACAATTTGCCACCATATTCGTCATTCATGAGTTCCTACAAAAGCAGAGTGCAGGCTTGGCAGTTGCTAATATTAAAAAGATATATGGGGAGGACTCACCTTCCGAAAGAAGGTGTCGACTATGGTTTACCAAGTTTCGATCTGGAGACAAATCTTTGAAAGATGCAGAGGGCCGTGGAGCGGCACCCCAACTGGATGATTCCAAATTACTCGAACTCATTACCAACGACCATCGGGTATCATCGCGTGAATTGGGAGAAGAGTTAGGGGTTGATCAGGCTGTAGTGCTAAATCGCCTTCATACCCTTGGATTTAAATAGAAACTTGGGAGTTGGGTGCCCCATGACCTCACTGACCCCCAGAAGTGGCAGCGCGCCTCCATCAGTGCCGTTCATCTCTCACGATACGAAAGGAAATCCTTTCTTCCTCGAATTGTGGCTGGAGATGAGAAATGGGTTTTACCTGTGAACTTTCGAAGGAAGCGGCAATGGGTGAGACCAGACGAGAAACCCGAAAGTGACCCCAAGCCCGATTTGCACCAGAAGAAGTTTATGCTCTGCGTTTTCTGGGATATGGAGGAGTGGTGTACTGGGAGTTGCTGGATAGCAAGACGACCCTTAATGCAATCAAAGACAGTGAACAGTTGGAAAAGGTGAATGAATCCCTGAAGAAGAATAGGCCCTCCAAGTCAAAGATCGTTCTCCTTCACGACAACGCGCGCCCTCATGTTACAAAACTGAACCGCTCTAATAAACAGCCTTGGTCGGGAACTTTTGGTGCATCCCGCATACAGTCCGGACCTCGCCCCTTCTGATTACTATTTATTTCGGACCATGAGTAATGAGCTTGCGGGAGAACACTTCGATTCGGAAGAAGCAGTCAAAAATTGGCTCCAAAAGTTTTTCGATTCAAAACCAAAATCCTACTACGAAAGAGGAATCCGCAAATTGCCTGTAAAATGGGCAGAAGTCGTCAATAATAGTGAAAATTATTAGGTTGATGCATAAGTCTTTTCGTTTTTTTCGTACTTCTGTTAAAAAGTAACAAATTCACCAATTAATCTATAGTTTGCTCTATAAAAAAAGTGTTTTTTTGTTCAATTTCCATCTTTTTAAATGAATTTCGGTTCACTTTCAAGCAAATTCGAGAGTGAAAAACGCCTTTTTCGTAAAAATCTATAAAAAACTCTACGGAAAAATTGGCTGAATGAATTTCTCTGAAATTTTGGCGAAATATCAAACTTTTTTTTCTCTATCTTTTATCTATTGACACGAAGATAGGTTTTCTTTAGCTAAGGTGTCTAAACCGCATCATCGAGTTAGCCCTTTTTGACTACCCGACTTCATACTCTCAAGAAAATCCAGGCATAAAATATTTTTAAACCCGTTTTAATGTTATTTTTGGTTTTTCTAATGAAATCAACCGTAGTTTAATTGGTGCATTTGTTGGCTTGAAACGGCAGACGAAAAGGAACGAAAAGACTTATGCATCAACCTAATATTTGGAATGAATCGATGGATTTATGTTGAATAAATTTTAGTTTAAAGTCCGGCAGTTTTCAATTCACCAACCCAATAATTGCGCAGCTTTTCAGGTTGTTGTGAATGCCGTTGCCAAGGAGAACGATTTTCTCATTTTCAAATCAACTGATCAAGAGTTTCCGTATCATCCTCATAGTTTTGATTCGAGGTGTTGCGGCCAAATATATCTACAGTGGGGAGTAGATCAAAAGAGACAACCTGTTTGGAAAGGGGTTATTTCAGAGGCGCGGTATGTTTCCCTCTCGGGCTCGAGTCCACAGTTTAACTTTTTTTTGCTTTTTAGGGGTAGTTGCTCTTCATTTCAAATACAAGTCTTCTTCAAAGTACTTCTCATAAAAATGGTTACTTTTAACTATTAACATTGGTACTACGCCGGTTGGGGGGTATTGTACTGAGAGTTTGCCCCGTATTCCAGTTGACTATCACTTGGCCACCACTGCTCTTTATTGTCTCTGGGAAATCTGCTGATAAACTCGAGGGATGATTTTTAAAATTCCATACAAAACATTACAGGCTTATAACTTTTGACAGAGTGCCATTCAGCAAAAACGGAAAGCAGATTCGGATTCAGCGTGCAATTCTACGTCGGAAAATATAGGGCTCGTGTCATTTGGCCACCCAACCCTGATGACCTTCCCTTGTTAGTAATCCATCTCTCCACTATATTTCGTCCCATTGATCCGGGAAGTCTTCTGTTGGTTCACGTTCCATTGTTTCATCTTCTTCCTCCACGACAATTTGCATTCACTCGGCTTCGTGGAGAAGACTAGAGAAGACACCCTTCAGCTTCACCTTTTGTCGAGTCGGAGAAGAGCCATCAGAGTTGAGTCCAAATTCATCGCCGAGCATCTTCAGCACTTTCGAGGCACGAAACATCTTGAAGCGTTGAAAGCTGGTAACTGGGCAAGGCACTGGCGTTCTACCGTGGGTGTACAATTAGTTTTAAATAACATTTTTTATCTTTACCTTTTATGGCAATAAACTTTAAAAAGCAAAAAAATAGAACAATAGAGAACGCACATTCTGTGGTTTTGCAAAACCAAAAAGCAAAAGTTCCTTAGAATCACCATTTCTAAGGATTTAAAGATATCTTATAGGAAAGAAAGAAAAGCAAGAAAGCCTGAAAATAAAGCCCTCCACTTCCAGTGGGGGCCTGTTCTTCAATAATGCCCTGTTTATATTATAGAAATTATATATTATTTTTTAACTGTATTTTACTAACATTCCGTTTAATAATTGAATTAGTTTTAGCTGGGTATTATTTTGGTACTTCGCAAGGAGGATATGGCGATTCGGGCCATGGTATCTTCGATATGAACGGTCTCTTCATCGGAAGCCTAGTCGCGAAGACGAATTTTGCTTTGGCAGATCTAATAATTGATGATGGAGGATTGGCTGATCACCATCCTGAGACGAGAATGATTCCATCGGTTCTTATTTTTGGCTATCTTCATTTTGATGATCCAGATGCAAATGTAAGTATCGTTTTAATTCTAATTAAACATTCTTTTGCATTTTTATTATTCTAAT